AAAAAAATACACATCTGGCCTTTATCTGCCATTCCTGACACAGAACTTCAAACATTCTTGGAATTTCCTGACAGGAGTGCCTTTTGTTGCTCAAAGTAAGCCTCTTGGGACCCTACCTGGATTAATGCTAACAAAGGGACCCATTGTCAGTCTTGAGAGCCCTGAGATAGCTTCACCTGAAAAACTTATCATCTCTGGCTGGGATTGTGGCTCAGCCATAGAGTACTCGCCTTGCTTGTGCGCCTTGCATGTGCGAGGCCCTGGGATCCTCAGCACCGCATTAAAAATAAAGGTATTATGTCCAGCTACAACTAAAAAATAAATATTAAAGGGGGGGTGGCTGGGGTTGTGGCTCAGAGGAAAAGTGATCACCTAGCATGCATGAGGCACTGGGTTCGATCCTCAGCACCACATAAAAACTAAATAAAGGTATTGTGTCCACCTACAACTAAAGAATAAATGTTAAAAAAAAATAATAAAAAAACCTATCATCTCAGCCAGGGAGGCGAAAGGGGCTGGAGATTGAGTTTAATCACATGGCCAGTGATTTAATTTATCTTGACTCTGTAATTAAACCTCAGTAGAAACTGAAAAAGGAGGGCTGGGAGTGTGGCTCAGTGGTAGAGCGCTTGCCTAGAATGTGTGAGGCACTGGGTTCAATTCTCAGCACCTTGTAAACAAACAAAATAGAGTTATTGTGTCCAGTTACAACTAAAATAAATAAATAAATAGAAACAAAACTGGAAAAGGAGGCAGGGAAAGCTTCCAGGTTGGGGAATGTGGGGATGTGCCAGGAGGGTGGTACACCCTGACTCCCCAGGAAAGAAGCTCCTGGACTCAGGGTCCATCCAGCCTTTGCTGCCCTCTACCATGGAGTGAGCTCCATGGTGTTCCAAGTACTTTCCATAATTCTTTCCCCTGAACACCATGTTTGTTTGTTTTTTAAATGTTGGCATACAAATATTTATTCACATAAAGCCATGTTTATAGCTTCCCATTAAAGGTAATTTGTTTTGTGTGTTTTTTTTTTTTTTAAAGAGAGAGAGAGGGAATTTTTTAATATTTATTTTTTCGTTATCGGTGGACACAACATCTTTGTTTGTATGTGGTGCTGAGGATCGAACCCGGGGCCGCAAGCATGCCAGGCAAGCGCGCTACCGCTTGAGCCACATTCCCAGCCCATAATTTGTTTTGTGTTTTGTTTGGGTACTGGAGATTGAACCCAGAGATGCTCTACCTCTGAGCTACATTCCCAGTCCCCCAGACTTTTTTATTTATTTATATATTTGTTTTTTGAGACAGGGCTTCACTGGGTTGCTGAGGCTGGCCTGAAACTCCTGATCCCCCTGCCTCAGCCTCCCGAGCCGCTGGGATTACAGGTGTGCACCCCCGTGCTTGACAGTTTTTGAGACAGTGCTTTGCTAAATTGCTGAGGCTAGCCTTGAACTTGTGATCCTCCTGCCTCAGCCTCCATAGTTGCTGGGATTACGGGCATGCACTGCCTTGCATGACTTAAAACAAAAAATTTCCACATTTGATATAAAAGGACATGTGGCATCTAATGTGTTAGAAACTGAGTTGGACATTGCACACCCTGTGACTCCCACCCTCCCCGAGAGCCAGAACATGACCAATCAATCCCTTTGCAGATTCCTGGGTCCTTCTTTGTGCCATCTCCATTCCCCTCAAACAGGCTGCCATTCGAATTTTGTACTTTACTTTCCTTAGACTTGAGACAGGTTCTTCCTAAATTGGCCAGACTAGCTTCGAACTTGGACTCTCCCTGCTTCGCCCTCCTGAGTT